TTTAGATCTTTAATCCATTTTGATTTTAGTTTAGTGCATGATGAGAGATACAGGTCTAGTTTTAATCTTTGGCAAGTTGAAGCCCAATTTTTCCAAGCCTGGAGGTTGCTAAATGCATATTTCCTTTAATAATTTCATTCTAAATGAGATCATATTTTGTATATGTAAAAAGATGCATATTATAGGCATTGTACAGCATATTATATATGCAAATATTTAAACTACAATATACTACTTTATACAGTTATTTTGTTGTTATTTTTTAAGACTGCAGAAAAATTGCCAGTGAGGTGGGTAAAAATATTGCTCAGTTTTTAAAAAATATTCAAGTGGTTTGCTGATCTCAGGATTTGATACAACACTCACGGTACTTTGAATTCCACATCCACTTAATATTGCTAGGTTAACGTTACATGTCAGATTACTAAATCTCTCTTAAATTTTAATCTCTACCTTTACACCAAATAGTACAGTTAAATGAATAAGCAAAGAAAGAAATATCTGACACAGTAATCAGCTAAAGCAATGAAGATATTTTCTCAAGGACTAAAAACAAAACTTTACCTTTTCTGTTGGAAACAAGGAGCTATACATATGTTCTTGTCAGGGAATTATTTTAATTTTCCAATAAATCAGAGGTGAATTAAGCTCTGTTGACATCCTGCTTGAATTCAATTCAGGTTGCTTAGACACCTGACATCCTTGCCCACATCCAGAGACAAGAATTTGCTTATTAGAAGGAACTGATTACCCATAATCAGGCAAGACCTGCAAGGCCTTTTAAATATTTTCACTCTCACTAGAAAGATTCGTGCCCCTTAACTTCTTGGAACACAGAGAGCTCCAATCAAGTTTCCACTGATGCTTTGGATATGAACCCAGTCTATATAACCCACTGTCCTGCCTCTGACAGAAAGTTACCTTACTTCAGTTGACGGCCAGGCCAAGGCACTTGGAGAAAACAAAAGGTCATGTGCCTAGTTGCCATCACTCTAAAAAATAACTTAAAAATTGAATATGAAATTATAAACAGAGAAGTAGGTCAACAGGTTGTAAATTAGTTTGTAAAAGAGGAGTAAATTCTGGTAAGTTATTGCACAATGGGATAATGATAGATAATGATAATGTTCTGAATATTTCAAAAAAGGTAGAAGAAAGGATTGGAGAGTTCTGACCTCAAAAATTGGTAGATATTTAACAAAATAGATACGCTAACCTTCAATTTGAATATTACACAATGTACATATATAGAGAAAAATTATATGGTACCCATGAGCATATATAATTTTATACAATGTGTGTTAATTTAAAAAATAAAAAGTAAATAAATTTAAATATTAACTATAAAACAAATCTAGCCTTTAAGTTAAGATTGCTCAAAATATAAATTTCAAGTGTGTTACCAAATTAAATACAAAAATAAAATCATGAGCTGAACACAAGAAATATTTTATCTTGAAAAAAGAAAAAAAACCTTTTTGGCCTTTTAGGCCATAAACTACCCAATTTTTAAAAAAGATTAACAAATAAGAGTGTATAAAAATTTTAAATGTTTCTGAGACAAGAATAGTTTGGAAAAGAAAAAAAATATACAGGTATTATCTAAAACTTTGCCTGAGACTTTCAATATCAGTAAGACAAATAGAGACAAAAACTACATCCAAGGTGAAACAAAGATGAGGAATAGATTGCGGCATCCGATTCATGAGGAGGCATAGATTCAAAGATGAAAGGATAAACAAGCAAATTTGAGAAGTTCTCATATCCAGTTCATATGAATCACATGTCCATTACCCTGAAAATGTTCCTCTACTAAGGATATTTACAAGAGCTCCTTTTATATCCCGATTCCTTAGACTGTAAATAAAGGGATTCAGCATGGGTGTGATCACAGTGTATAACACGGCTACAATGACATCCTTATCATTAGTGTTACTGGATGAAGGGAAAAAGTAGAGCCCAATAATTGTTCCATAGTACAGAGAAACCACGGACAGGTGTGAGCCACATGTGGACAAGGCTTTGCCAATTCCCTTGATTGAGGAAGTTCTCAGGATGGTGGCCCCAATGCGACCATAAGACATCAGAATGCACATGAATGGCACAATAGTGAAGACCAGTCCTACAGTGAGAATGACCAGCTCATTGACAGTGGTGTCAGAACTAGATAGTTTAAGTAAGGTGCTGAGGTCACAAAAGAAATGGGGGAGGCTGTTATTTCTAAAGAAGGAGAGATGGGCTAGGAGGAGAGTCTGTACAAGAGCATTGGCAGAGGACAAAACCCAGGACACAGTTACTAGAAAGAAGCAGACTCTCTGGCTCATCATGGTGGTGTACTGTAGGGGGTGACAGATGGCCACATACCTGTCATAGGCCATTGAGGTGAGAAGGAGGTCGTCAAGACCTGCAAATAATAAAAAAAAATATACCTGAGAAACACACCCAGCATAAGAGATGGATTGACTCTGTGTCAGCATATTCATGAGCATCTTTGGAGCTGTGACTGATGAAAAAGAGATGTCAGTGAGAGCCAAGTGGCTGAGGAAGAAGTACATGGGGGTGTGGAGGTGGGAGTTCAGCCTGATGAGCAGGATGATGAGCAAGTTCCCCAGCACCGTGGTCAGGTACAGGACCAGGAATAAGGCATAGTACATGTCTTGCTCTTCCTGCCAGATGGGCAGCCCTAAGAGGAGGAATTCAGACACTCTGCTCTGATTATCTCCTGTCATGCTTTTCTTCCACTCTTTTGCTGGAAATGAAAAAAGAGATGGACATAAGAAAGAATGAGAATTCATTTTGACTATGAAATAATGGAAACATGATTTTGAAATACTCTGTATATGCTAGTCTATATTAACCTAGTACATGCATCTCAATTTTTGCCACACTAATTCACTGGGAATATTCTGGACAAAGAACATAATTTGTGTGCCTAGAAACCAAGTAAAATCTTCGGAGAAATGATGCAACATCTGAATAATACTCAGATCAGATCAGATTATGTTCAAACTTGAGGAGTCCATAAGACTATAATAGAAACCTAACATTAGGGAATTAGTTTCAAGGGCCATTCAGTAATTAATTAATAATAAATATGTTTGTACAGTACCTCTGATCACCTTTTAACCTCTTTTATCCTTCCCCATACCACTGGAACACACTTTAATTAATGCTTTATTTCTGTGCATTGGGTCAAGATAGAGAATCCACTTATATTCAAGATAAAAAGTAGAAATTTGGTGGAAATAACATTAGTAGCAGATTGAGAGAAGGGCGTTAAAGACATGAATCTATGACTTAAAATACCTAGTGACATACTTAAAAATTACCCACCCATTCATACTTTGAGAAGATTCTATCTGCTCAACATCTTCAGTCTTCCACCATCACTCTTTCTAAAGGAATTTTTGTGGAATGTGGGAAAAAAGCCTGTATCTATTCCAAAATCTATCCCTGTGTATTTACTCAGCTGAAACCAAATAATTATTATTCAATTCCTAAGAATACCAGGGAATATTTTACTTTTTCATTCACATCCAACATCTGCCAATGAAAGTTTTGTAAATATCTGTTTAGCATTAGCAATAATTTCTCTTTTTTTGATTCATAGTCTAAATTTTTTGTCAAAAATTCTTAAGTCATATCTTCTTTGTTTTTTCCAACATTTCTTAAACTTTGGTAATCATTCCTGTCTCTCTTTCAGGTTACTTAGTAGGTAAATAAGCAATTGCAAAATAATAACTTAAAGAGTACCTGAAGGATCGTCTGCTGAAAAATAGAATTCATGTTCTATATAAAGACTCATTAAATCTTAAGGTCTTTGTTTTTTTAAGAGCTAAGGAGCTATTCTTACTATCTCATTCATCACTGATTTTGTGGGTTAAGTAAAATTTACATTGATGTATCAATTAGCCCAAGCTGATTGAAATTATCTCTAAGTTTCTATATTATTCAGCCCACTATGTTAAAATTCTTGTTAATGTTATTTATGTTGATACCTGATATAAATTATTCTTTCTTATAGTTTATTCATTTCTATGTTATTGTATCACAATAAAAATGCTAATCACCTGTTTAGGGCAGTGTGGATTCTTCTATCTAATCATTTCCTATTTCCAACAATACTGCAATTCAAAATACTGTTCATATGTCATTTGAAAATTAGTATATTCCTCTGTAGGATAAGGTCTTAGAAATGGAATTAGATAGAATCTATTTCATGACTTTAATAGATCGTCCAGTTTCAAGAGGCTAAAGTGATGAAGACTTTCTTTAAAAGCAAATCTTTAAGTGGGGGATGCAAAAGACATCAGCCATTAACCTGTGGCCACTGTGTTCTCTCTAGCTCAGGGGCCAGCTCTCACTCTGCAGACATGCTTCTTTTCCTGCCTTTAATAATATAAAACCTTGCTAAAACATAAAGAAATAAAAGCAAATTTATATGAAACCCTAATATAAGAAACTGGCACATGAAGATTATAAAAATTGGCACTTTTCTTAAGTATTTGGAGAGGAGAGGGCTATGGCATGTGACAAAAGATAATTCAAGACCAAACTTGGCCTGAGAAAAGTATACATTATAGAGTTATTAAGGAATTGGGGTACAAAAGGCTTTTTCTGCTATCATGGAAAGTTTTCATTCTATTGTCAGAGAAATAGTATATGCTCAACAAATAACTAAAAGTTTTTAATATTTTACTGTCTACTAGGGAGAGATCAGATAAGAGTAGCAGTAGGAATCTGGATGGGAAGTTATTGCAGTAATTTAGGTACAAAATAATAATATGTATTCCCACCTGGATCGTGGCTGCAGAGACAAAAAGAATTACAGAGAATATGGGATAAAATTGCAAATTTGGAAGAAAATCAAATAAGCCTCAATGGTTATTAAACATAAATAAAGAGAAATATACATTTCCCCTATCCTCCCCCAAATTAGATATGAGATCAATCTGAGATAGATTATTTTACTTAGAGGTTTGGTTTTTACCTGTCATTTGAAAACTTGGAAACATACTCAATTCAATATAAATTACTCTACATGGAACTGTCTATCGTTCTGTGATGAGGTAGAAACTAAGAATCGGTAGGACATATTGGACACATACATCAAAACATATAGAATCATATCAATGAATGTAATTGCTGCTCCTTCTCTAACATGGCACCTTAGATACTGAGCACAGATACCTTCAGCTAAAAGGTGTGCAAAGGTTTTTTTCATTTCTTTCTAGAAGACACTGAATACAGCAAAACAGGTGGGTTCTCTGAGGGGCTCAAAGTTCCACTGCAACAGGCAGAATCTACCAGTTCAAGAAAAAGCCATAAATATATATATATAGTTCACAGCACCTGAAAAGTCAGTACACCTTTTAATTTTATAAACCACAGAGAGCACCCAAAGGACAATTCTTCATCCCTGCCTCCAAATTAGAGACAAAGCAAATATAACTGCTTCATTGCTTTTGGCTCCCCTGAGAAAGGACAGTATGTTGAAGTAGACATAAGATAGTTGATCCTTTGAGGAATAACAATGAATAATCACAAGAGATTTCTTAGGAATTTGGTGATTCACAGAGCTTCTTGCCTGCTTGGTTTACCTTGGGGAAAATGTGTTTCAGAGCACATCACAAACGAAGCTGGAGCTTAAATGTGATAACCACTCTCTTGTTTTTGGACATAATGCTACTTCAAAAACACCAGAAACACTCTAATACCTTCATTCTCTGACCAAGACAGTGAAGGAAATTGTGTTTCATCATCATTTGACTTTGTAGAATATAGTTCCTAAACATATTAGTCTCTTGTCCAAAGGCTATGGAGTTGGTATTTCATGATTGCCTAGTACAAAAATGAGTATTATTTGTTCATTATTAAAGGTAAAGATGTGTAAATAATAATAAATAATTTTAATTGGCTCAGGTTCTTTTTTAAAAAGCCCATACTTAGAACTGCTATTTGAGTGAAGAAATTCTGTAAAATAGTTAAACTTTAGGAATGGTTTCTGAGTCCTGTAGATTATTATTGATCAACTGTTGCCCTGATGATAAAGCTATAATTAACCTGCCCTTATCATTGAAGTCAAGGGTTGACAAACTGTCTTCCCAAAGCAGAAGAATAATCTCGCCCTCGCCCCGACCCACAGCAACCAGTTTGGCCAGGCGGGCAGAAAGGACCTTGGCCTCATGGAGCCCTGCTCTGTCCAACCCGCACCACGCCCACCAGCTACCAGTTTAACCTACCCCCTATACCCCCCCACCCTGCTGCCTCTGGCCTCCTGGCTGTTCTGCTACCTGGTTCCACACTATAGAGGCACAGGGGGGTCAATAAAGGCCAGTGTCCTGAGCTCCAGAGGATAGAGCAGAAGTGAAGAACAGAAAGAGGTCCTCTCTCAGGCTCCTTGATGAAAACTGAAGCCCACTGGAAAAATGAGAATCTCTGCAATAAAGACACACCAGACCACCGTACTTGGTAAATTGGAGGGATCATCACCTCACATCAGAACCTGGACCATCTCCAGGGGAAGGGCAGCTGGAACCTGCAATACAACCTTGCAGAGTTCAACCCTGCAGGAGGACAGGGAGTTCAACTGGGGACTTGCAGCCAGAAATCTGCCTGAATCTCACGGGTCTGCGACTGGCTTGCTGAGACTCATTGACATATCTGCACACTGCTGCCCACGTTGTCTATTGTGACAGCAGAGACATACCCTGAAGGAGGCCCTGCATTTTATATTTTATTTGTTATTTTCAAAATTTTTTTCTACTCTTATTTTTAATTTTTTTCTTTTTTTCTTTTTCTTTTTCTGTTCTTTTCATATTTATATTTTTCTCTTCTTTTATTTCCCCCCCCCCACTGTCCACATTATTATTCATCTTCTTTTTGATCCTGTTCTGGCCCTAATTCAGATTTCTTCTTTGTTTTTCTTTTCTTCTCTATTTCCTTCTCTCTATTGTCATTAGTTTTAAAGGAAAGTAAATACAGTTTCTAGCCTCCCTATTGCTGTTAGGTTGTTTTCTTCTCATCTTTGTTCTTTCATTCTGTCTTTTCCTCTTGTCTTCAACAGTTTCTTAGAGTTTACATGATCTTCCTGTGTCCTCTGGCCTCACTGCTAACCTTTCCCTATCCTTCTACCTAGCTATCTCTCTCTCCCCAACTCCTTCTAATTCCCCATCCTAAAGGGTAAAGTTGCTATATTGAAGAGTTTATTCAGTATAACATATGTTGGGTTGGTCCTCAATTTTGATTTAATTCACACAGTTAAAGGTGATACATTAATAACAAATTGTCATTTTCTAAGCTGTGCTTGATGCTATGGTGTTGCTGAGTGTATCACTTGGGCTAAGGTGCTGTGATTGATCTAATCAGTTGTCCTTCCTGGTATAATGAAAATGAGATTGCCTCAGAGTCATTAGAGACTCAAAACCTAAAGAGTAGCTAAATCTGGAAGACACCTCTGAGAAGCAATCATTCCATAAAGGTTCTAAACATAAGCAACAAAGATATTTACAACAAGCAATTTCAAAATATCAACCCAGGAATTAAACCAAGGATGGCTCTCTTCCTCACATGCATACTGGTAAAAAAAAAAAAAAATCCATGAATCCAAGGGCTGGGGATTTAGCTCAGTGGTTCCACCGCCTGCCCTGCAAGTGCAAGGACACAAGTTCAATCCCCAGTACCAAAAAAAGAAAAACTCCATGAATCCAAACTCTTTTTTAAAATTAATTTTATTGTTACAATTTAGATGCACCTAATGATCACATTCATCATAAGAAATTTGTAGCTGTACATGATGTATCTTGAGTCTTCTTGTAGTCCCATTCCCCTCTCCTCCCTTCAACCACTCTTCCCTCCTTATTTACAAATCTTTGTTTCCTTTTTATTCTTCTTTTCTCATTTTTATCTTTTCCCTTCCTTCCTTTCCCCCTCCTCCTCCCTAGTTCCCCTTTACTTTTGAACAATTTCTTCCTACTTTACAATCTATTATACATTTTGGTCCTTATTTTCACTTTTAGTTTCTTACACCAGAGAGATAATGGGATATTGACACGTGTGTCTGATTTATTTCACTTAAGAGTATGGTCTCAAGATGCATCCGTTTCCCTAGAAATGTCTCAAGTTTATCCTTCCTTATGGTTTCCCCAAGGTTATAGTTATAAACATAATTTTAAACACAGTGAAGATACTCCCTGAAAGATCTGCAAGGTGCTAACTGACCCAAGAAAAGACATTCTTGAGATAACCACATTTGCTGCTTAGATCCACTTTCCACATCCTCAAACCCTTATAAAATCCTTAATCTCTAACACTGATGGCATCACTCCTGTTTTGGAAACTTGCCTGCAGTCCCACTTACCAGTATACCATGGACAGAATAAATGCTTGTCTTTCCTATATTCCTTGACTGCTGGGAAATTCCTTTTACTGCCTGCATTACTGTGCTGTCTCACATGGCACCTGGTGGCCTGTATGTGTAGAAGCTCTCTTCTTGCTCCTTTTGACCGTTCTCTACTCTGGTGTTTGTGTGTGGTTAGCAAATGGAATGATGGGTAACTGAAGACTGTGGTCCGTACAACATCCTGATGGGATCTGAAGGCCTCTGGGGTATGACCATAGCCAGCTTGGACCCTCAGGGTATCAGACGGGAGTTCCTTTTGGTCCCTTTCAGAAAACCTTACTTCCCACTTGCAACGGACAGACCCTGGCCAGGGCGACTTTCAAGCAGGACTCAAAGGGAGCAGGAAAAGGAGGATGGCCCACTATAGTCTGGAAGGATAAAGGGCCACTTTAACTTGCTTTGGGAACTCCCTGACTCTCAACACACAATGCAATTGGTGGTGAAAACTCAACCACGGAGAATATGCGTATCATGTGAGAATACCCACTTAACTCTTGCTGGTCCCTGGCTTTGCCCTCTCTCAGCTAAGCTTCCTGATCCAGAAGACTCAAGAGTGACCAATTTTCCATCTCTCCAGGATGCTGAGTCTCCCGTTCACCTTTTGGACACATTCAGCGCATAGGATTTAACTTTTGGTAATAGCCTGAGCTGATCAGTAGGACATAGTGGTGTTGTGTATCACCAATAGCTCCACAGGGAAATCAAGTTTCACTGTGCTTGAGGCTGACTTTCTCAGAGGATGATCGAGATTAGTGCTTGCCTCATGAGTTTTGAGACCCATCACACTTAAGGGACACGTTTTGGGTGGATGCTGCCTTTGAGGTAGGACCCAAAGATGGATTTCAAATTCTCTATCCTTTCTAACTCACCCTTCAGATGAATTCTTAAAAATTGGCCCAAATTTAACCCTCACCTCTCAATACAAAGTCTCATTTTCCTATGTAGCACAGATCTTGAATCAAGAACTGTGGCCTCTTAGTGGCACCCTAAGTTATAATACGGTTCTACAGTTAGATCTTTTCTGCCACAATAAAAAATGCATTCTAGAATTCTTTACATTCAGACTTTCATGGTCTTGTCACAGAATCTCCAAGTGCAGGATGACTGCACGTGTGCCTTTCTAAATCCTTTCACAGTATGCTTTTCCCAGTATGCCTCCAAGTTCTCTCCAAGTCCTCAAACTGATACATTTAATGACCTTTGGCTTTTCTCTAACTCCAGTATCCTTTTTGCCACTCCCTCTTTATCCCTTGATGTCTATTCCACCTTCTAACTCTTACTGGTGCAACTTTATAATGATAAAATAACAAATATTACAAACAGTGCTGTGTCATGATTCACCTAAAAATAAAATCCATTAGTTAATATCTTCCAGAGAAAATTCTATCAATAGTTTTAAACCAAACACTGAAAAAGATATAACATACCATTGCCAGTACATCTAACATAGGTATTCTAATGAAATGCATTTTGGTACAGTTGAACCAATATTGGTACATTTTCATTAACTACAGTCCATAGTTTACATGAGGAGTCATTCTTTCAGCTTTACAGTTGTACTTTCTTTTTTTTCTGTTTGTGTTTTTTGTACAAGTGCATAGTGGTGGACAATTATTGTTACGGCATCATACAAAATACTTTTCTGCCCTAAAGGTCTGCTTTGCTCTACCTATTTATCCCTTTCCTTCACTTATACCAAACCATCAACAACCACTGATCTCATTATCACTATTGTTTTGCATTTTTGTAGGATGTGATATAAATGGAATCATATTGTACGCAGCCCTTTTAAGCTGGCTTTTTGGTATAACCATGTTGCTGAAAAGTTCCGCAGTGATAATTAAGTGGATAGTTGTAGAATCTCTTACCTATATACAATGGATGTATTTATGTGTAGTAGAATGTTCATAATAGTATTATTCACGATAGCAAAATACTGTGAGAGAGAGAGGAAGAAAGAAGAAGAGGAAGAAGAACAAGAAGAAGAAGAAGAACAAGAACAAGAACAAGAAGGAGGAGGAGGAAGAGGAGAAGAAGGGAGAGAAAGAAAGACAAAACAAGAAAGAAAGAAAGAGGAAAGAAAGAAAAGAAAGAAGAAAAGAAAAACCATGTCTAAAGTATCAGATAAATGTGATATATTCTCACAGTAGAATATAAAAATATATAGATGAATTTCACAAGGACAATGGTAGACACCAAGAACAAAATGAGGCAAAGTAAATAAAATCTTATTTAATTTATTTGAAGTTCTGGAATAGTCAAGATTAATGGATCAATGCAGCAGTGTTACAAATCCAATGTAAAGTAAGGGAATATTAAAAATAGTCATGACCCCAGGCAACTTTAAGAAGAAAGAATATTCAATTGAGGAAGTACTGAAGCAGCTGCAGCAACATTGTTACTTTCCTGTTATTTAGGATGACAGAATCTTAAATGACTATTTCTTTTTATATTGTAATGTAAAATACGGTCTTAAGTCACAAAAATGAACATAAAAACATTTAAAGATAAAACACAATGTCCAAATGCATATATAATTAAAATGTTTATATGTTATATATATTACATTGTATATTGTTTCAATATTTTGAAAACAATAAATCTGAATTTCCAATAAAATAAGTAAATATATTGCTGAATTTGAAAAATGTTCAAGTGGTTTACAAGGCTCAGGCCTTGATCTCACACTCACTAAACATTGAATTTACTTCCACTAAATATTATCAGTTTAAGACCACTTGGCTAGTTACTCAATCTCTCTTAAATATGAATTCCTTCTGTATAACAGATACTACAGTTAAATGAAATGATAAATATGAAAATCCTGTTGCAGTAATCAGCTCATAGCAATGAAGTTAAATACCTTTCCTGGAACACAAGCAATTTCTCAAACACCAAAGAAAAACACTCTACTATTCCAGATAGAAACACAGCATACCACATTTATGTAGTAGATCAGGAAAGCATGCTTCTTTAATTTCAAAATAAATATAGTTGCACTAACTCTGTTGAAATCCTGCTACGACTCAGTTCAGGTTGCCTGCACTTCCTGACATCTAGTGTCAGAGCAATTATTCAGCCCACACCCAGAGAAGCTCAACCCCATTATCAGAACAGACTGATCTTCCATAATCTTTGCACCACCTGGATGGCCACAAAAAATCTCCACACTCACTGTTATGCTGTATACTTTGTTGAACTCTAGGACCTAGAGGACTTCGATCAAGTTCCTGTTCACAATTTAGGACATGCATCTCACTGCTGGACGTTTTTTTCCAAAAAGACATCTCATTACCATACAAATCTAGTCACTTCAAGAACATAAAAAAGTTCTGTGCCTAGCTGCTATCATGCTAACACAATGGAAATAGTTTTGAAAAATGGATAGAAAATTTAAAACCACTGGGGAGAGGAAGAGAGAAAGGGATGGGGAAGTGTTGGTCACTGGGTTCTAAGTTAGAGTTAGGAAAAGTAAATTCTGGTGCTTTACTGACTGCACATCATGATAAAGTACTATATTTTTCTAAAAGCCTAGAAATTATCCCTGAATTTTTCACACAAGCAATAAATGAGCAAATAGCGCTGCCCTCCACTTGAATATTATGCACTGTATATTTATATGGGAACATGACATGGAACCCAATAAATATGTACCAATTTTATATGTTAATTAGAAAAGAAAAATTTTAAAAAGACAGACCAAATTTCCCACTAAAGTTACTAACCAAAATAAATTTGAGGTGCATTACAAAATTAAAAATGAAATCACAAACCTGGTGCAGAATTCTTTTTATTGTACTGAAAAGGAAAAAAGGTTTGCTAAAATGAAGACAGAAAAGTATTCCATAAAAAAGTAGAGTGGTAGTTAGAGTATTTTGACCTATTTGTAGGACAAAGACACTATGTAAAAAGGAAAATATACAGGAATGTTTATAACGTACTTCCACAAGACAAGGTTCTAAAAGACAATTAAACAGAGACAAAAGCTGCATGCAGGGCTGAAAATAGTGTGCCACATCAAGAGTCACTAGGAAACAGGAATTCATCAGGAAAGGATGTACGTGTGTGACTGACAAGGTCTCATATCCACTAAAAGAAAAATGCCCATCATGCTGAAAATATTCCTCTGCTGAGTAGATTTTTAAGAGCTCCTTTCATGTCCCTATTCCTGAGACTATAGATAAAGGGATTTACCATGGGTGTGACCACACTGTAAAACACAGCCACAATGACATCCTTGTCATTACTCTTATTGGATGAGGGGAAATAGTAAATCCCAGTAATTCCTCCATAGTAGAGAGAAACCACACAGAGGTGAGAGCCACATGTGGACAAAGCTTTGCAGATTCCCTTGATTGAGGAAGCTCTAAGAATAGTGGCCCCAATATGGCCATAAGACACCAAAATACATATGAAAGGTAGGGTTATAACCATCGTTCCTACAATGAGGATGACCATGTCATTGACGGTGGTGTCTGAACTGGATACCTTGAGTAAGACAGAGAGGTCACAGAAAAAATGGTGCAGAGTGTTATCTCCAACAAAAGAGAGAAAGGATAAGAGGATGGTGTGCAAAAGGGCATTAGCAATGGATAACACCCAGGTCACAATTACTAGCAGGAAGCAGAGTCTCTGGCTCATGATCGTGGTATAGTGTAGGGGGTGACAGATGGCCACATACCTGTCATAGGCCATTGAGGTGAGAAGGAAGCTGTCGATATCTGCAAACAATATGAAAAAATATACCTGAGAAACACACCCAGCATAAGAGATGGATTGGCTATGAGTCAGCATATTCATGAGCATCTTTGGAGCTGTGACTGATGAGAAAGAGATGTCAGTGAGAGCCAAGTGGCTGAGGAAGAAGTACATGGGGGTGTGGAGGTGGGAGTCCAGCCTGATGAGCAGGATGATGAGCAAGTTCCCCAGCACTGTGGTCAGGTACAGGACCAGGAACAGGGCATAGTACATGTCTTGCTCTTCTTGCCAGATGGGCAGCCCCAAGAGGAGGAATTCAGACACTCTGCTCTGATTATGCTTGTTCATACTCCTCTTCCTCTCCTTTTTTTTCTGGACATGAAAAGGAAGATGAAAAGTTGAAAGAATGAGAAGTCATTGTGACTCTTCCATAATAAAGACCTAGTGTGAAAATAATCAGTATATGCATTTTAACTCAAACTGAACCCTTAATGGGCCAGTGGTGGCAAAGGATATTGTCTACCTAGAAAACAAATAAATATTTTTGAACAAGCCATGAAAACATCATAATGGTTATGAGATCACTCCAAATTCTACTTCCTTTAAGAAAATTATTCTTCCACTCACATTTTCTTTTCTCATTTTCTAAGGGAGTACTCATGAATTGTGAACAAAATGCATCTTCTCACTTATCACATTGGGTATTCCTGAACCTAAACCAAATTACCTTGTCAAACTTCTTACAACACCAGGAAATTCTTGACTCTTGTCACATCTTCAATTTGCCAAAGAAGTTTCTTTGTCTGTCTGGAAAAAATAAATTACATCATCCTGTGTTTATGATCCTAGCACAGATATTATTCCAAAGATTTTAACTAGTATATTTTTGTCATATTTCTGATATGTCTTGTGCATCACTAATACTATCATCTTTCTCTTTCATTATATTTAGTCTTAGACATATACTTGTGAGGTACAAATTAACAGGTAATTATACCATAGTTTGTGGCAGCAGAGATAGAAAAAAATTATAGATTTGGGGGGAAAATCAACAAGACCTAGCACGGTTTGAACAAAGCAAATTTACCTGTCAGGAATTACTTGACAAACCAGAGTGAAAGAAATTGTTTTTCATATAAATTTTTTTGCCCTATCATCTCAAAACAAAGATATTCAATTCAAAATAAATTACTCCATTGGAGTTTTTTGCCATACTATGATATAAGGATAGGTAGAATCCAAGGTTCTGTAGCACACACTGGATGTACAACATACAAACTAAAAAAAATGCATACAATCACAATATTTAATATAAGTCCTAATCCTGCCCTGAAATGGTCCCTTAGATGATCAGCACAGATACCTTCAGCTACAAGGCATGGGCAGGTCTTTCCACTGCTCTCTAGAACATGCAGAAGACAGTGATAACAGCTGGAGCCCTCAAGTAGCTCAAAGTTTCATTATAAACAGTAGTAGAGTTTTCAGCTCAAAACCAAACAACATAGATATGTGGATACACCATTTGCTCACACCTTCTGAAATATTTATGTGAGTTCTAATTTTATAAATCATGTAGAGGTCTTTGAGGGAAATGCCCAAACACAAGGTCCAAATTAAAGACAAATAAATAAAATTGTTGCACTGTATTTGACTCCCCTCGGGAAGAACTACTCACTCTAGCAGGCATAACAGAGCTCATCCTTGGAGGAATAAGGATAATAACAAAAGGGCAGTAATTACCAACTTGTTGGTTCACAAAGTCCCTTACCTTCTCAATTTACCTTGGGAAAAATACGATGCACCTTTTATAATAAACCAAACTGGAAGTTCACTCTGACAACAAAATATTTTGCTATTTCAAGTCCATGCTAATCAAGAACACCAAAAACACTCTAATATCTTCACTCTGTGAACACAAGGAAACTTATATTTCATCACCACCACTGGACCTGAGAAATGGAGTATAGTTTCTATAAACCTCAATCTCTGGCCCAAATTCTATGGTGTTAGCATTCTACTCATGCAAGACACTCACAATATCATAAAATAAACATTCAATATTTGTTTTCCATTCAGTTTCTTTTAAAATTGATCACAAACTTACTCCATGCATTCCAGCTTTATTTCTTCAATGCCTATTGGAAAATGAGTACCATGTGCTCATGACTCAAATGAAGATGTCTGTATATTTACAAATATTGTTAGTTTGTTCTATTTATGTTAAATTCATCTATACTTGGAATAACTACTTGTATGTAGAAGTTATAGGGAATATTTGGACTTCAGAAATGTTTCTTGTAGATCGAAGTTAATCATAAGTTTCCCTCACAGTAAGGCTGTTATTGTCCTGTTTGTTTTCATAGAAGTCAAGGGTTGACAAAATATTCTTCCTTTCCAAATCAGAAGGACATCATTGGCACTTTCTACTTCCCCTACCTTCATGGAGACAGGAAAAACTGTCAAAAACCTGCAGGATTTCTCATTTGATTAAGGTGTAAGAGAAATAATATCTCCTTGAATTAATAAGTGATATTTTTACTTTCTCAGAAACAGACAGCATTTTCTAGAAAATCTTCATTCACATTCCCTTACCATCCAGTATTTTTCCTTCCTTCTGAGCCCTGCTGAAAGTGTTCCTGCAATAGCTTATAATTAACACAAACACTCACATATACACAGACACAAAAAATTGGAAAACAGGTAAATGAAATAATAATTTCAGAGAAAACTTCAAATATGCTGTTCATGTACAAAGATAGTCAAACTCGCAATAGTCAGGGAAAGACTAAATCCTCAGTAGGTTTTCACTGTATATAAAGATATAGGAAAAAGTATTTTTGAGCATGCTTCTTGAAGAAAATAATGGGTGTTAAATGGGAGCCTTAGTCATTTTTAATACAAAATGTGACATTATAATTTACCCCTGAAAATGTGCTTTGCTGTGGGCCATACATTCCAATATCAGATTTATGCCCCTCAAAATATTTTATTGAGTAGAATTGACAAATGTAAACATATGTATTTAAGGTATATATTATCTTTTAAGATATACATAATATATAATTACTATAACCAAGTTGATTAACACATTCAACACCTTACATAATTGTGATAATTCTTAATTTCCCTTGCTGAAAAATATTTTATAATAGTAAAAGTTGAAAATATCCTTAAGCAAAATAATATGCTTAGCATCTTACTCCTGCAGAGATTAAAAGTTAACTGAACACTTCTGGAAAATTTCCTGATATTTCTACATATTAATACATTTTGAAAATAAAAAGTTAGCAATGTTGTATACAATGTTTTGTAACCTGGTGTTTTACTTAATGAAGTGTAGTGTACATGTTTTCACCTCAATAAATTCATGTCAACATTATAATCTCTTAATGATCTAATAAATGTTTTTCTTGCTCTGATTATCTGCCTCTACTCCCTAGCAGAGACCTTTGCAGTAGGTTTTGATCTCCTGCTCGGTGCTATGGGGCAAGGCTGAAGAAAAAAAAACAACATTAAAAGACAGAACTAACAATGTATATGAAGAAAATATGATTATTCGTAGTTTCTATGTATAAAGAAATACTACCTTCATTGTTATATGAAGTGCCTTTTTAAATTTCACACTTATGTTTAAAACTTATTTGGTGTCTTGCATATATTGCAAGTGGTATTTGTGTAAATTTTGTAGTGTTTCAATTTTTGGTTTATTATCTTCATTATCTATATACTTGCACTAAATGTACTCTTTTGAATGTTATTTTTTATAGCACTGTTGACTCATTTCAGAAAGTTGTATACTTTTCTCTCCCTTATGTAACAGAAATTCTTTTTATTTTTTAGTGATTGGTTTTCTAGACATTAAGGCAGCTTCATATGTTCTAGATTTTCTGATTCAATCATTTGATGCACGTTTAACCTTGTTCTTAGCCATAGTAACAAAATGTGTTTATTTAATAAGAAGAAAGGACATCTTAAAAAACAGTAAATTTACTGACAAGATCTATGTATCTATATAGAGATACATAGATATATCTTTTAGATTGTGTGATAGCTTCCTTGTCAATATAGTTAATTTAAGCTTTCTTTAAAACTGTGTGGTACCTTTATTGATTTAATTTCAATTACTAGCCCTCAAATGACATTTTGAGGGGAACATAAGCTTTCTCAGACTCCTTAGATGCTATTTAGTACTCTATAATAGTATTACACTAATAATTTACTGAATTATACCTAAGTGACCTGATAATGCCCTGTCCTTAAGGGCCTGATACATCCAGGTTAACCTCTCAGGTACTGTAAAAAAAGAGGTTGAAAAAGGAAACTGCAGAATCCCTTTTGCAAAACAGAATATGAACAAGAACACAGAATTAAGTGACATGCTTACTATTTTTGAAGATATAATTAATTGGGATTCTGGTGAAGGTTTGAAAATATGGATTAAATC